TTATTAAATTAATCAACTGTTAGTAAATCCACTGTTAATAAATTGATCCACAGTTTATAAATTAATCAACTGTTAATAAATTAATCCACTGCTAAAAAATTAAACCAAAGTTTATAAATTAATCAACTGTTAATAAATTAATCCACATTTAATAAATAAATCCACCGTTATTATTTGAAAGGATTACTAATTTTAAATTATATAATGACTAGTACATTTTGTTAATATGTTAATTGTTGTATGTACATAGTTAAAAATCAATTTCTAAATATAACTATTAGTATAGGTTATGAAATAAACTGCAATATCTTTAATTTGATGTAGTTTTGATAATTTATAGATACTTAATGAAATAGTGAAAATTAAAAAAAATCTATCTAAATTTTGATTGAAAATTTTGATCGCCCTGTTGATAAGTAAATGAATTATTTGTATAACCAATGATTACATCGCATGCGTTATCTTGATTTGTCGCGGTTTCAACATATATTCTATTTTTGGATCAATATTAATTCAATTTCAGCCATAATTTTATTTTATATATTTAAAAGTAAATAATAGAATTAAATTGTTTCATTTGTTTCAGAAAGGCACAAACGAAAGAAGATTCTACTTATATAATTTTAAGATATACATTGTATTGTAATATATATAAAAATATAAGACATGTTAAAGGTTCACTGACGTTTCATTTATTTATTATTTAATCCAACTTGATAGATTAAAAGATATGTTTGTAAGAAAAAAAATTATAACTTTTTTCTCGAATTTTCTTTGAAGAGTAAAATAAGATATACAGGGTGACTGGTGAATTACTATCGATACTTGAGGACGTGATATTTGACCATCATATATGACAAAATAAAAATTAATATTACATAAATATTAATACACTTCTAAGTAAAGTTAACCAAAAGTTATGTAATTAATTACGCATCGTGTGAACACCCTACAGATTAGGTATACACACACACGCACACAGACGCGTGCGGCGGCGTGGTGTTGTGTCAGCACGCCGCCGCACGCGTCCACACTTGGAACACTTGGAACGTGTCCACGCTTTATTTATTTATACGGAAATTTGGTCAAAAATTAAGTACCTATTTTTTTTACATAATTCGAATGAGAATCATGTACCGAGTATTCTCCTTAAATATTGATAGTAATTCACCAGTCACCGTGTATATTTAAATATTTTTCATATAAATAATGTGTTTGCGTAGTGACGTCATGAATGAAAAAATATTTTTTTAGTATTTCAATAGATATAAAAAGGAGGTTCTCAATTCGTTGACAATTTTCAATTAAGAATCGATTTGGATATATAATGATACGATAGTTTTATTTTGAAATCAGAGCAATAGAATTTTAAGGATAGATAAAGATGAAATTAAATGCATTAAAATCTTCAGAACACAGTTATAATTTTTCCTTACTACGATTATTCTTGCGATATTCAGTATTTAGTATACATGGTGTTCTAATAAGGGACGGGTTTCTTTAATGTACGCCATATTTGTCATGGATTGTTTACCGTTTGTTAGAGAAATATTATGCGTTTATCAGTAATATGAATTAGGGAAGCTCTAATTGAATTACCTCATTTTAATCGTCGAAGAAGTATTTTAGGATTTAAATGATTTTTTTCTTTATTAAATATACCGCGTGTCCATGGCAAGTTTATTCTTTAATGAATAAATGTGAAATTAATACTTTATGAAACTCACATCTCGTCTATCCGTGATCACAGTTGCTGGAAAGTAGCCGAAACGTCGGGAGTATGTAGTTTATAATAAAGAAAAAAACGCGTAGTGAATCCGAAAATATTCGTTTCATTTTAATACCTTATGAATTAAAGTCTTTACGACTCATGAAACATTAGTGGTGGTCTTTGATACAAGGTTATTTTTTAGTTTGAAACTGATAAGTTGTTCTTACATGTAGTTTACTATCGTTATTGGAAAATATTATAATCATATTTTAAAATCCAATTACACTAGCTATTGCTGACAGCTAAATGGCCAGTTGGTAATCAGTTATTACTCCTAAAATAACATTATTTTTTATATTTTTTCTTCTATTCTAAACCAAATTTGATTTAAACCAGCTCTTTGTAAATAAACCTAACTCCATTCATCCGTCCATCTGTCCATTTATTAGGAACGTACGTAAAAAGTTTTTATGACATAGTACTCTACTAGTTCGCTCCTTCTTACGTTTTAAAACTATTAATCTAGAAGATTGTAGAAATCTAAGTATAAGGTTACCACGTTTTTTTTTTTTTTTTTTTTTTGTTATCGCGGTGAAAGGTTTTATACCTACCCCTCCGTCTAGGGGAGACAGAGGCGGTTATGTGGGATTCACGGCCAGAAGGGCCCATGTTACCCACTAAAACACCAGCGGTCACTCTCCGTTGCCGCCAAGTGGATCGCCACGGGAAACGCCGAAGCATGCATCCGCGACGATCCGGCGGCGGGCCGCGAACGGCCACCTCCCCCCCCGAGGGCTCACTCCAAGTGACCAGGAGTGTCCCCCCGCCTGGCGGGCTTGCTTAATCGCGAGAGGGTTAACCCCTTACCCCTCCCACCCAAGCCCACGCGGCCAGTCTCCAACCACCCACCGACGAGCGCAAGCGCCCGACGGCAGACAGAGAGGAAACCGACCGACCACAAGCGAACTCAGGCCTCCGGAGAGACCCGAGTATCCCCTCCCCCCCAAGACAGCCACGGACGGCCTCCTGCCAGATCCGTGACCGTCTTACTCTCAGGGCTGTACCCCCAGCCCTCCCCCCCGTGACTGATTGCACCGGAATACACCAGTGGGCGATGGGGTCGTCACGTCCCGACGCCGGACTGCGCCGACAGTGGCCGAGGCCACCCGCCAACACGTAGGGCCGAACTTGGCAGCGGCGGTGTTCACCGCCGAGCCTCGTCCTACCCACCTCCATGGGCTGCACCCCCAGCCCGGGCCAAGACCCCACGAGGAGGTCAAGGCCCTTCCCCCCCGTGACTAATTGCACCGGAATACACCGGTGGGCGATGGGGTCGTCACGTCCCGACGCCGGAAAGGTTACCACGTTTGGGCTCTGTTTGTGTAAAATACATTTTTTAAGCAATAATCTCATGTATATCTTTTGTATGCATATCTTTTACTTTCATTGAATCTAGTTTTATCGTGTTAAATTGACATTGAGGGGTAACAATAAAATTATAATAAGCTAAAATGCTACTGATAATACGACCCACAAGGACCACTTGTGATAAAATGAATTTATGGACATATTGCTAATCACTATTTCGGACATTCTAAAGCCGTTTTTATCAGGTAGTATTTTATTCGGTAAAATTATAATTTTATTGGTATTTTCTATCTATATGATGTAAGTATCAAAATGCCTAGTTCAGGTAGCATCACTACCATCATAAATCTTCGCACATTATGATATTATATTTATGTTGAAAATATCATGAATAGTATATCTTAGGGAAAAATATTAAAATTATTTTGTATAGATAAATAATTTAAGATCTATAACTTTGGGTTGAGTTTTTTTTTGTTCTCCTATGTCTCGGGTAGGAGGACACTCGGCGAGAACCCTTCGTCGGAGGAGATCCGAGCGGTTCGTCGGCAGGGGGAGGAGCGCCTTATGCGGGAGTGGGGGGAGGACTTGGCGGAGCAGCCGTACGGTAGACGTACAACGGCAGCGCTTCGCCCGGTCCTAGAGCGTTGGATGAGGCGGAAACGCAAACCCCTCACTTTCCGTCTGACGCAGGTCTTAACCGGGCACGGGTGCTTTGGTTACTACCTGTGTCGGACGGCCAGGAGAGAGCCGGGGAGAAGGCTGCCATGAGTGCGGCGCTGCGGTGGACTCGGCCCAGCACACCCTCGAGGTGTGCCCGAGATGGGCTGCGCAGCGCCAAGACCTTGTGGCGGCTCTCGGCGGAGTGGACCTGTCGCTTTCGAGTGTCGTGGAGAAGATGCTCGAGAGTGATGGGTCCTGGTTGGCGGTGTCCTCCTTCTGTGAGACGGTCATGTCCACGAAGGAGGCATCTCAGCGGGAAAGGGAGAGGGCGGCTGATGCTCCCTCCCCCCGCAGGCGACGTACGGGGGTGCGTCGGAGGCAATTCCTACGCCTCCAATAGCACCCCTGTGTTCCGGGCTGGGGTCGGCGTGGTAACCCGGCCCTTTTGAAAGCCCGGCGTCGTCGGGGTGGTCCTAATTGCCGGGATCGCCCCCATTCTCCGAGGGAGTAAGTCCGGTCTTTGCCAGGACCGGCCAGTCGCTGGTGTGCCCTGTCGCTGACAGATCCGGGGTACACCGACATAGCGGCCGATGGCTTTCGCAGTGGTTTTAGTGAGTAGGGGCCTGCCCAGGCCGAGCCTCACACATCCCTTCCGGCCCCACCAAGGCCGGTTGGACGGCTCGTAAAAAGAGTTTCCACTACGTCATCAAAAAAAAAAAAAAAAGGGTTGAGTTTTTTTTAAACTAACTATTTTCGATAGAGAGATAAAAAACAATCTCAAATTTTGTCCTTTGATCTCGAATAACTTTTGTGGCACAGACAAACTATATTTTTAATGATAAACCCCAGCTCTCCATCAATATTTGGCTTTCCGGGAATTTATGTTATTGGACTACTATTTTATACCGGACTAAAATAGTTTTCCTATTTACTGATGCTTTCACCAATTTTCAAGTTTAGTTATAGATTTTTCCTGTCCATGTTCTCATCTATTATATTAGCTAATAAAATTGATAAGATTAATTTAATTTATTTTATGTATCTATTGTGATGGAGTTTTTCCATGATAATCTTTCATATATCAATTAATATTTTTATTGCCGTTTATCTTATTTGTATAAATAGGCAGGTTTTTAAGTAAAACATTCATCGTTTAGACAGACTCGGTAAGTAGATAGCTCTTCACTTCTCTTAATAAATTTATATTATTTCATAGATATTTAATGAGAATATTTTTAGACTAAAACGAAAAGCAACAATGAAATTCTTCGCAATCTTCGCAACCGTTCTGGCCATGGCCATGGCCGTCCCAAACTCCTCAGTGTGGACTCTCCAGGACTTGTCTGAGGCTCTACAGAATCCTGACACCAACCCGGCACTCATACCCTACCTCGAACAGGCTTTAAATCAGTTGATGGAAAGCCTCATGGCTGGACACAACGTGGTAAATATCCTTATATAAATCTCGATGGTAGTACACTAAATACGATTTTGTGATAGTAAAATCATTATTATTGTAAATTTCATTATTAATTGCATCAATCTACTAATACTATTTATTCATTTTAGTAAATCAAATTAAATTTGTTGTTTCTAATTACTAAGTTTTCTCAAATTAATGAACCAATTTGAATATGCTCAGACCAAACCGTCTTTATGTTTAAAGAGTACACATATTTATACACGAATGATTCCTAATTTGTATTAATCTTTTCAGAATGCCATCGTAGTACAAATGCCTGAAAACATCGACGTGGTCCCATCTCCTGTGAATCCTGATATCGTGGATCCTCAACCCTCAATCTCAAGCCCCCTCGTTCAAATCATTGTCAACGTAAATTCCAAGAAAGAGGTAAACTCAAATTACTTAACTTATATTTGACGTGTATTATTTATTTCTAACATTCACGATTGCTACTTAACTACTCCTTGTAAATTAACTGAACCTGTGTTTTCCATTTTGCCTCAAATTCCAATATGAACATATGATATTGATTTAGTAATTATGAGTAAAATTATGATAGAGTCATGATCATCAAAGTCTATCAGCTTTTTTTATAATAAAATTACTTTTTTCAAACAAAACTATCAAAGATCGAAGTTCAAGTAATCTATATATATGTATAAAAGAGATTTTCACCTATATATTGACTCATCACGATATCTCTGGAACCATACAGCGTAGTGACTTGAAATTTGGTAGGATTATTCCTTCCGCCGAGTAGAGGTCAGCTAAGAACGGATTTTACGAAATTCCACCCACAAGGGGGGTTGCGGGGGGTAAACAATGAAAAATACGCTTTCACACCTAAACCACTGAACTGATTTTAATGACATTTGGTACAGATATAGAGTTGACCTTGAGAAAGGACATGGGATAGTTTTTATTACACACTTTTGAAAGGTTCTCTTGGAAACGCGATATAACCGGACACCACTCGGGCGAAGCTGCGGGCGGAAAGCTAGTATACACATATAATTAATAAAGTTACAATTGTTCAGGTCGCCCCAGGCCCCGTTAACCCAGAAATCATTCCCGGTCCAGTCATCATTGACGAGCCAGAAGAAATCATCATCCCAGCCCCTGTTATAATAAACTAAGCACAGTTCACCAACTAAAATTGTCAGTCGTTGACATCGACTTGACAATTGTCTGATTGCCATATTTAAAAAATTGTATATGTTTATGTTTATCTAATAAATTTGTTAAAATCTATTAAGTTAGTTTTGACATTGAATTGCTATACTTTAAGTGTGACAATATTTACATTATATCAAGATAATATCTGTCATTAATTGAATATTGTTAGTTTAACTCAATTTTTTTGTCTAACTATTCACTTCCACTTATATAAAGTTATCAATTACAATATAATGAACTTTAGTAAATATATGACAGAAAAATAAGTCGATATTTGAATCAGGATATAAGGAATAAAAGAAAAGAATCTGAGTATATTTTAAAAATATACATACAACGTGTATGGTGCATTAATACATGAGATCTGAAGGCGGTGAATTACCTAAATTTCGTTTATCTTTTTATTACGAAATTCTTATATAAGCTCAAAATTTATTTAACAAATTATTTAATTGATATTAAGGTGTTGTTGTTAAAAACTTTTTAGACAATGCTGTGAACACCTGTAATAGGTGTACATATGAAGACCTTTACTTTTTTCTATATTTTTTGTGTAAATGTTGTACATGTGTACTGTTGGTGTTCCTAAGTAAATAAATAAATTGATATGATTATAAATCATAATTATATAAGATTACTTTTACAAGGTTAACTATTATGCAATGCTAGTCATTTTTGTATAATAATTAGAAAAAAATATTTCGTGCAGACCATAGAAAGTAAATAGAGAGAGTTGTTTTTAGTTCCTATACAATCATAGGGATATCCAAAAAAGTATTACAAACTAGTACGACTTTAAATATATATCGAATATCACAATATCTTCAATCTATATGCTTCAGACTAGATCTTAACAGATCTATAAATACCTAATGTCAATAGATATTTTAACCAAATTTGATATTTAGCGTTTATACAATAGAGTCAATAATTAAAGTACACGATTGTCTGTTATTTACTTATGTACTGTTGGATTAACTGTTTATATATGGTGTATTTGAAGCACATCATCATTAGACTTGAATCATTACTGGTACGAAATTATATGGTGAAATTTTTCAAGGTTACGTAAAAGTAGACGACAGACTAAATATACAGAAGTACTAAATAATAATTACCAGTTGGCAGTTACAATGAAATCTATTACATATATATTTGAAAGATTTGTGAATTTTTTGAACGATTTTCGTATTCCTTATTATAAGGAGAAGATAAAATGCTGGGATACTATTTGACAGGCTGATATAAAGTAAGGTATCAAGAGATGCAAAGTAACCAAACTATTATACATATATTAGTTACATAACTTTATCAACACTATTTAAAGATAATAAGTTACGTAATTTAATAATATTTATTCTAGTTATATCTAGTTATAAAAGTTACTAGAGATAGCTGTTGACGTCTTTAAATAAAATACTATTAAAATTTATAAGACATATCATAATTACATGTCAGTTTAATTACAAAATTTATCTTGTTTCGATGGCCTTATTTCTACTAGTAGTAGCTAGTAGAAATAATATTAAAATTTTCAAAATTATTTTACTTCATGTAGTCTGTGTGTAAAATTTTTGTAAATCCTTAAAACGTTTTTGTCATTTTGTAATAAGATTTTTGTAAAAATAATCTCACTAAGTTAGACACCTAACATATTTAGTTTTAAATAAAGGATAAACCCGCAATGCAGTCAGCGAGGGGTAAGCTTCATATTTTTACCAATAACAGAAAGCGTCTTTCCCACCTGCGGGATTTGTTTATGGAAATTGCTAAAAATATACCAATAACATTTGAACTATCTCCAAATTAAAGTGAGCTGAAGTTTGAACAGTATTGGGTGTAATTCACGAAATGTATAACTTAAATATTAATGCTCGTTAAGATATTAAACATACACGTAAATATTGAGATTATAATTTGAGTTGTCTTCATAAATATTATGTTTATTGCAGTGTACGTAGTGTATTCGTTATACGAAAAAGTGTTTTTTATTTTGAGTTGTAGCTCTAAATTTAACTTGTTTGAATAAATAGATTTTCTCATATTATAACATCTCTTGTATTTTTGTATTTATATTTTCATTGGTTGTAATGATACATACATACATAAAATTTACTTGTTAATAGTAGGAAGCACAAAAAAGATTCAGCTTTAGAACTAAGGTATGTATGCATTTGAGGATTTTTTATTTAACGAGTATATTCCCATAATCGTTGCTTTAAAACAAGTTTAAATATCTTAGACTTCTACAGTGTTCTTTTTCCTTTATCAACGTTCATTAATTTGACGTGTTTGTAATACTCTAACCAAAAAAATAATGCATTTTGTGGTTTTAAAACGTCGTAGCGACAAATGCTTTTGGGATGACGTCACGCTGCTCGAATTTAATGCAAAATAATGCGAGGAGCTTGAGCGTTGAACACGTATTTTAACGAAAGTTGAACAACTAAAGCTTTAAATTATAACTAAGGCACATTTGTAGTTTACATTAATGTTACAGCTGCAGGTTTAACTGAAAATACTCTTTTGTTTATACTATATTAATTCCAATAATAGATATATAGTCAGTATTTAAAGGATTCCTTATTATTAATTAGTTTATGTTTAAATGCACTAAGTATAGGCCTTTTCTAAAGTGTGAAATAGATGTAGTCTCGGTCTACTAGAAATTATTTCTCATTTTATCTTTTCTTGAATAATTTCACCATTAAATATATTTTTCAAGAACGTAATATATTAAAGAAGCATTTTAAATTTCCAACATAAAACTCTAAGCTGAATAGATCACTGTTACACAGATACAAAGAAAGTAATACATTCAAAATGTTATATAACAGAAAAATACGTGTAGAAATTTAACATTGCAAAATATGCTCCATAATTATTTGTTGCTGAGGTATAATTCTTTGTTTATTTTTTTTTAATACTGAATACATTGTGACTAAATAGTCGAGAGCTATGTTTTGTGCGGTCTATTGAATTGCAAATTTTGAAATAACATTTTAATAACACATTGTTGATTCACATGGAACAATGTAAGGTTGAGGGAAGTAACTAGTTTAATATTTTACATATATCAAAGAAAACAATAGATACAAGGAAATCTCGGATATAAAGTTTCGAAAGAGTGAAAAAATCGTAATTTTTCCTTAGTAATTCAAGTTGTTGTTTTGTGTTAATCAAAGTATGGTTATCTTGTGAAATATCTGAACTGTTTTACACTGGAATCATTGTTCCGGATGAGTGGATTCGAATGATAGATATTAGAATTTCTTTTTATTTCTATGAGTCATTTATATTTCAATTTCAATGAATTTGTATGACAAATACTCATTTTTGATAAGTCATCGTAACATTAACTTATGTTTAAATAAAGGTTGTGCAATTCATTTTGTGAAAATAATAGTATGACATTAATATTATTGTAAGAAATTCTCATATTATTACCAAAGAAAAAGTTTATCGAAAATGTTCTTATTACTTTTTTCCGAGTCATTTAAACAGTTTGTCTTTAATAAAATTCTGTTTCTTCACCTTAATGAATTTGGCTTTAAGAGTTAGTTGGTTTCAGAGGCTAGACGGGATGCTTCAAAATGCCTCTATTGCTAAATTTAAAAAAATTATTAAGGAACGCTTGTGTGCAAAAGGTTACTATACAATTAAGGAGTTTATGAACGATAGCACACCTTGGGAATGAAACGCTCGCCTCCTGGCTATTTCATCTCATATTAAATTGTGTATATAATATATGAGAGAAATATATATATATATTAAAAAAAAAACCCGCTGAGTTTCTTTCGCCGGTTCTTCTCAGGTCAGGGTATTTTCTTTTCCGAACCGGTGGTAGTCTCAAATGACCATCAATAAGAAAGTGTAATGCTTCTATATTGAATAAAGTTGTTTGAGTTTGAGTTTGAGTTTTCAAACAATATTATACATATTTAAAAGTTACTATAAATAAACGATTTTAAAACCTTTTCAAACAGATTAAATTAATCTTTTGTATGTATGTTTTTTTTTAAATTTCTTGGGTTCTTCTTCAGATTCTGCTGAAAAATTTCATCAGTTTAAATAAAAGAGACGCATTTATTTTTGCGTAATGCTAGTGATATCTGTATGAAAGTTTTTACTATTTTTTTTGTAGATGAACAGTTCTATAATATTTATTGTTAATATCATTGGTATGTATAAATGGTAAGGTAAAATACATATTCTGGTAATATTAACAGAATATTTACTTTCGATATTACAGATAATAAAAATATCATCGAAAAGAAAAAAAAGTAAGAAGCATAATTATTACATATGCAAGAATCAGGCAATAGTTTTAAAAATAAAATTTTATATAAGTACATAATACAAAAATAAAAATAAATTTCCAATATATAACATTTTTATATTGGTGAGATGATAATGTTGTATGAAAAACATTTGTATGTCCTTTTGACACATTGATAAACCTAAAGATTATCTAGAAAATGCATATTTTGATGAGTCAAAATATACTAGGAGGAAAATTTTCACGAAAAATATAACATGATGCAATTGTATCATTTATTTATTTGGATATTAGCAAATAACACATGGTTGTAATAATTAAAATAGTTTTTATATTATAGTAACAAATAAAGGTTTAAATAAAATTTTTTTCGATTTCTTGGCTGTAATCGTGTACAGTAGAAGCGATGAAAGTATGCTTTTTAATTCAGTTTTTGTCATCTCAACAGAATATTAAGATTCTTGTGTATAGGTCCAAATTAACTGAATTATATATATGTATATTTTTATTTTTCTGAAGATAACCCAGTCTTTAGCAATCATGATCAATGTTGTCCTTTAAAATTGGGATGTTTTGTAATTCGAGTTTCCTTTCGATTTAAAGTAGGTATTAATTTAAATATCTGTTTTCACGAGCAAGAGTCTCTCTGCTTTTGAATTTTGATTGTATTCTGGGTTTATCTAATAAAGTCCAAATTGTGATTAAAAGATTATGACTATTTCTTTTTTCAATGCAGTTTTGATTGTCTGAGACAAAAACTACTAACTAAACTAGGATGATTATGGTGAATATGTAATTTCCAGTTAGTTAGTTTTTTGTACTGAAAACCTTATAGTTGATATTGTTTTATAAATATCTCAAATTGAGTAGATCGTATAGTAAACATCGAAATCGCTAGTAAATCCAATCTATCTACTTATACGTCTTACTATAATAATGTGGTCAGTTTGAAAGTCGATCATTCATCTTGTTACCAATTCTATGTTTAGCCTAGTGACGTACTGTAATCGGTAAGACTACTGTGATGTCATTAGCAGCCATTAACGACTATTTTTCAACATAACATAAATCATATTCTTATGACTGATAGTTTGTGTGATAAAGAATAAATTGTTTTGAATAAACGTCTATAAATTAAAACATGTAGTTTCAATACTTTTAATAGAAAAAAATAGGTTATGGTGGCATATTTTTGCAACATTCGATATGAGATCGTGTGACGCCGAATTCAGGGCATCATTTTATCTCGGTTTTCGCGAATATGTTCCATCAAACGTGTGAAACGCTGTGATAAGGTTACTTTTATCAATATTTCTGTCAGGCCGAGCCCTTCGTTATCGCGGGACACACTGATTGTTGTGATTTATAAAAGACTGATATTCGAGTCCCCATCAGTTACCTCAGAACTGTTTATTGCAACAAGTTATATACAAGTAAGTGTTTTACATTACTTTGTTTATAGTTATTTCTTCTTAATTATCTCGTGATAGGTAAAAGGTATTATAATTTTATTTGTTTCGCATATTTTAAGTTCCGGTTATGAAATGTTTGCTATCAAAATTTATTGATTGGCAATTGTGATAAGGATATTTTATATTGTTCAATAAAATACGTCATTTATTATACACTCTTTTATCAGAGCTGTAATTGATGTTTTTATTTTTTTTTTGTATTTAACCGTGGTTTGTATAAGTCACAAACATATGGTTTACATGTAGTTTCCTAATAACAATTGATTTTTTATATAACTTTTTCGTTATGTAAAAGATAAAATAAAATATTTTTAATCTCATAAATTCAATGTCTAAATTTAAAATTACATATCAAATAAAATTATTTTAATGTCGTAAATGCTCAATTTGACATCAACATTCGAGTTTTTATCCGCATAAAAGGTAGAAAAACATTCATTATTGAATTATAACAACTTTGTCTAATAAAGTTTTTAATACAAAGAAATGTGTTTAATACATTTTTATTTCACATTACATATTCTATTTAAATTTAAGCTGATTAAGAAGATAGTTTATTCGGTTGCAAAATGAAAAGACCCTTTAGTATATCTTTTATTCCATACTAATTATTTTTGTTATTTGATATTGTATTTGATAAATGTTTTATATTTCTCTAGATAACAAACAATGTCTGTACCAACGGTAACCATTGATCAACTGAGCAAGGGTATTGAGGACTACTCATCGAATAAAAGCGTAAAAAGTGTTCTCGAAGGAATATTAAACGATTATATGGACTTGCAATATGCAAAAGAAACTCCATATACCACGGGAAAACAAGTTATACCCTCAGGTTCATCTATTGAGGACGTGGAGAATGGTATCCAGAGTATAGATGGAAAGTTTAAGGAGATTTTCGAGAAGATATCAAGCACTCATAAAAGTGGAGATCTCAGCCCGCAGTCTGTTAATGATGGATCTTGGGAAGCCAATCTGAAACCCGTCTTCGTGTTCGTCACACCTAATCCTTAGTTTAATTAATTGTTATGTTCACAATACGTATAATTTTGAAATAAATTTAATTTTTATATATTTAATTCGGTGTTTTCTGTTTTAATATGTACGTTAATTTGAACGATAAATGAAGTTGTATTTGAATAATTTTCATGATTTTTTTTTATTATATAAGTAAATTATTTTTATTTTTCTTCTTTTTTATTGAAATAATCATAATGTGATATTAAAAATATAAAGCAAGTAGGTGATAGTATGGTCTCTATGGAAAAGTATAACATGTAAAATCAATCAAAACAACAATTTATTTCAAGGGAATCCTATGCAATTTTTCCATAGTTATTCAAATAATAATAAAATATACAATGATATCTTTTAACAACTATATTATTCATATCAATAGAAATAGTAATAATAATAACAGGAGCATATAAAACTATAAAATGTATTCAATAAAAAACTTAAGACAGATATGAAAAGTATATTAAAAGATCGATCCAGAAGGTAAATAAAAACGCCTTATCAAGTACCATTCAATAATATTTTGATAGACGTATGATTTATTGCTACTATTACTTTTGATGTTCCGATGACATAAAATTGCTAAAACTCATCGTCACCCATTAGTATACAACAGAAACTCTTCTAAGACGCAGGTAAAGTATTATTCTGTTATTAGTATTTATGTATAAATATAGTTTTTGTTTAGACAGAAGTTATTTTAAGACGAGCCTTGTACTATGATTATTATCTTAGTAGTAGGAGGCGTCTTAACATGTCGTCCGCCTGAATGGAGCCACTTGGAGGTTTCTTTGTGATTTGTATCAGTCCTTGTTTTATTCTACATATTAAGTGCTATAATTTTTCATAACAACTTATATTGACCGATATAATTCATAGGATTTACTATTTTAGTTTATAAAATTATGATTAACATCAGTTTCTTTCCTTTTATTTATTAGGAATCTTGGTAATGGTATATATCAGTAAAGTTGATTGGTAGAAATTTCTACTCGTAATAGGTGATAAGGTAGACTTTTTTCATTCATTACATTCTATTGAAAATTTTAATGTATATTTTAGGTTATACAGAGTATATAAAAATCATAACAATAGACATTGATATCTCGTGAAAAATTTTGAGGAATGAGGCCAATAAATAATATATTCAATTATATTTTTTTTAATTAACTCGACGATATGGTATTGTTGAGGAAGCCACAATTTATGAAACCTTATAACTTAATTTCACGTAAAAAAAGTTTGTCTATACAGCAACCGAGAAAAATTATTACTCTGGCCCTGCCTGTCAATCTTGATGAACGTCAAATAAATTTTCTGAACTGTAACATTATTTTATAGATAAGTAAAAACAAAAAATGAAAATCGTCCTGTTGGCGCTATTCGTGGCGGCTGTGGCTGCGTTTCCAGCTGAGAAGTCCAAAGAATTGGAGCCATCTCCCATTGCTATCCCTGAGTTAATTTTGCCTGAAGGTATCGAAGAACTGCCTAAACCTCAAGCCCAATTCGGTGAGATTTTCAATGATGGAAACGTACAAGTAGCTGTTAATGCACCCGAGGACCCCGGAATGTTGGCTACTCTTCAATCCTGGTTAAACATGGTGATCAACTACATTAGCAACGGCGGTCAAACCTCTGAACAGATTGTCTAAACGAATTTTGTATGTGTATTTGTATGTGAATAATATTATTTTTATATAAAGCAAAAATGATTTTATTTTTCATCCCTAATTTTAGAGTTGCTCTTCTTAAAAAAATATAATATCATAAGAGTCTTCAATGTAATAGTAAATTTGTTTTCATATCCTTCTTTCGTTGCGTCCTTACCCAAAAGAGTAATTAGAGAAACTTGGTTTTAATTATAATTATTTTTGGTTCTCATTAAAAGTCTGTATGGACTTGAAAGTTTTATAGACCAATTTGAATATATCGTTTACAGATTAGTGACTTGTAGATTCCCTCAATGAATTATTATTCAGCAAGCGAAGTGGCAATTACAGGTAGCCTGGCGACCGTCCAAAAACAATAAGAGCGATTGTTACGAATTGTTTACACAATTTGTACATGTTGATGGTTGTTCTGCTAATTTAGAAAAGTGGTTTCTCATTGTGTTTTTGATTTTACATTTTTATTCAACAATGTTCTATTCAATGTAGCCGCCGAAGGCAAGGAGAGTATGGAGGTATAAAAATCTGCTTAAAAATTTATTTTGTTAAGTAACCTTTTAGATTTGTATCGTAATTATTTTTTTTAATTTTTTCATCATATTTGAATACTAATTCTTTTTTCTTACTAGTTTGAACAAAAAATATGTGATTATGGAATAATTTGTTCTCAAAAACACGATAATTTTATATTGTTTAATTTACATACTTATAAAAACTTAACATTGTTTGTAGAAGGGATGTCATGAATTTATTTATTACATTAAGTATAATGTTAGTGAGAGCTTGTAAGAGTTAGGTTTAAATTAAAATCTTATTGCCTTGAGACGTGTCAAAACTCTTTAGAGCAATTTGTCCTAAATAAACAGGATTACTAACTTTTAAGTAGCCAGGACCGTTTCCCTGACGGAGAAAATTGATACTGAAACAATTACTACGACAGTGGAGAAGTTTATTTTTATGTTGGCTAAGGTAAGATTATTTATAAAAAATATATAAATAATTATACAGTACGTGTATTTGACTATTTTTGTTGGGACACGTTCTATGTATGAAATAAAATATTGTTACTTAAAACAAGTTTTTGTTGGTTAACCTCAAAAACACTTAATATTTAACATGTACGCCTGATTCCAATAGATATTTTTTTTTATTTATTTTATTTTTATTTTATTTGGGAAACAAACAGTAATAAAAAAAATCAATCAAATAAAACATATAAAAGTACATAAACCAAAAAGCTTCCACCAATTACAATTTCATTAGGAGCACAAAACAATAATAATAATAACAACAATAATAATAATAATAATAATAATAATAATAATAATAATAATAATAATAATAATAATAATAATAATAATAATAATAATAATAATAATAATAATAATAATAACAATAACAATAATAATAACAATTTTAAGATAAATTAATTACGAATTACAACCTTTACTAATTTCTTTCCTTATATTATTTTTTGTGCACATTGATAAATCTATATTTGAGAAACATTTGTTATATTTCTGACAGGCACGGAAAATAAAAGCATTTTGAGCATATTTAGTATTTGTTAAAGGTAGATGAAACAGGGACTGACGACGTGTATTAATTTTGGGACATCTAAAGCAAAATATTTTCTAACAAAAAGGGTGAATCTATATAGTTTTGAAGGATCTTAAATAAAAACAACTGATCTCTCTCCATGCGACGGTATTCTAAAGACGGAATGTGTGACGGCAAAAACCTATAACTACAATGTTTAAAAAATTTGCGCTGAATGTTCTCTAATTGCAAAACGTGGCATTTGTATAAGGGATTCCAAACAGTTGAGCAATATTCAAGGGTTGATCTAACTAACGAATTATATAATAAAATTAATGTATTTACATTTTTAAAATCCCTACCAGTTCTTAAGACAAAACCAAGCATTCGGAAAGCTTTAGCTGTAATGTAATCAATGTGGGACTTAAAGGTTAGCTTACTATCAATGAGAATACCCAAATCTCGCACCTCGGTTACTCGTGTAATAATACTGTTGTCTAGATAGTAATTGAAATTAATAATATCTTTAGTTTTCCGAGTGAACGAGATAACGTTACATTTCCTTACATTTAAATACAGATAATTATCTGAGCAGTACTTACATAATTTGTCTAGGTCATTTTGTAGTAGTATGCAATCAGAAGTTTGAGTTACTCGTCTGAAGATCTTCATGTCATCAGCATATAGAAGAATATTTGAATTCTCGAAAACTAATTGTATATCATTAATAAATATATTAAACAGTAGAGGACCGAGGTGCGAGCCCTGGGGCACACCGGAAGATATAGGCACGAAAGAAGAAGTATGTCCCTTAATTGTTACAGCTTGACTACGATTCTCCAAGTAAGAAGACAGCCATCGAAGTAGATCACCATGTATACCGGTTTTCTCAAGTTTATGTACTAATAATGCATGTGGTATCTTATCAAATGCCTTGGAATAATCGGTATACACGACGTCCACCTGGTATCCTTGATCCATTCCAGTAGATATATGATGGACAAATTCACATAGGTTACTTTCCGTGGATTTTCTGTTTATAAACCCATGTTGCTGATTAATTAACATTGGTCTAAGACAAGAGTAGATTTGGTCATAAACAATTTTTTCGAAAAGCTTCGCTATAGTAGACAATTTTGAAATTGGCCTATAATTTTCAATATTATGCTTGTCACCGGATTTATATATTGGTACAACATAAGAGCGCTTCCAAGTGTCGGGAATAATTCCAGAACTTAACGACTTAGAAAATAATATTAAAAGCGGATACGACAAAGTTTCGCAACAAGATTTCAAAAAAATAGGCGGCAACCCATCCGGCCCCGAACCCCTGTCTATTTGTAAGGTTTTCAAATATTTCTTAATGAGGCTAGTACTAAGTGTAACAAAACCGATCGATAAATTACTGCAGCAAGAGGCATGATTACTCGATGTTATTCCTGGGGAGCTAAAGCTAGCAACAGGCTCTGCATACACCGACTTAAAATAGTCATTAAATAGCTGACATATTTTGTTACCATCACTACCCACCTCATTCCCAAAGAACATATTATCAGGTATACCAGCAGCAGCCTTTTTAGACTTAACAAAAGTCCAAAAAAACTTGCTGTTTTTATTAATTTTTATCTCAGATTGATATATGTATGTGTCGTAACAATCAATTTGCACTTGTTTTTGACGAGCCCGTAAAAGACTGAAAGTGTCGTATTAAGTATATTATTTACATTTTGCTATATGTTCTTTGTTTTCAATGTTATCTTTTTACAAGGACTCTAAGAATTAGTTTTTTTTTTGCTATAAGAGTAAAAATGTATTGCTAAAGGAAAATCCAGAATTTCGTTTACAACTTCCATTTAATCTATCTAACCTCAAATCTCTTTTACAGGGTCTAATTAAATTCGTGAATCTAGGCTCTTCATAGAAGGATTTGTCTCAAGAAACTTCAAGTGCTAAGAGTGAAGTTCCTATCTCAATGATGCTCGTTAGGAGTTTGTTGATCTCTGGACCTCAGTTTCTTAAGGAAATATACATTTTATACATATATATCTTTTCGTATTATATATACGTATTCGATGAAAATGGTAAAGTGTATTAACGAATATGTATGACCATATTTTTCAATATAATTTTACTATAATAAAACATAAAACAATTATTATTTGTAAAATGAGTCCTTTTTACTTTGAAAATTATTCTAACAATGGAAATTTCAATTCAAGTAATTTTTTAGCAATACTTTATATCATTATCATAAAATTAATAGAATGCAAGATTCATTATAACGCTATATTATACTACTATGAACTTTATGTAATCTTTAAAGCTGTATAAAATGTTAAAACAATTCAGATAAACACCCAATATCATGCACCATTTGCTCCATCAAAGAGATGATGTAAAATGAGTGTTACGAAAATTCACTGAAAATCTCGTCGGAACTAGCGTCATTCACTCCAAGTATTTTTTGTCGAAGTCTCTGCGAAGAAAAAAATTAACGATCCTTTTCGGCTCCATCCGAAGTTTATGAGTCGTCGTGAAAAATTTACTACTTCATAAATTAATAGATTCGAGCCATCGGAACTTTAGAAGAATTTAATAAGGAAGGTTTTAAGGGAAATGTTTTGTAAGTTTTGTTAAACATTCAACATTGTTCGTATAAAGGGACCGTGTTATTAATACATTGTCATATTAAAACGATGTAAATGAAGCAAAATATTATTTATTAATTCAATTACACTTTGACCTTTCGCGTGTTACCAATTTTGTTGCTTCGAATTAATTAAAGCTTAAAGAACGGCCAAGTTGGCCCCAATAAAATAAATTTGCCAACTTTTCATTTATATTGAACTATAATGAATAAAATTTTGTGATGGTTTAGTAACAAATAGATACATATAAAACAAGCGTCCACAACGTAATTAAGATTACTTAGTCAAATTTACTTTTAAAAGCAGCGGCGTGAATCTTCTATCATATCGTAAGAACTGTTAATGCTATTAATGTAATTCTTATATAAAAATATTTAATATATATTGAACAAAGTTCAGAAAGTATAAGTGGATGTGGCGGTCACTTTTTTTATTATTTTTTTAAATCACAAACACATCACGCAATACACGCGAGTGTTAACACGCGGGTCGATCGCGCCCCACTAATATTAATCTGATTTTAAACCGAAAACGGTTTGCTATTTATAGTTCCTACAGTTTTCAATCATATGTGAAAGAGTTTTGCAAATGATTTATTACTAATAATATCTTCTGTAAGATGTATGCAAATTGAGATGCTTTGTTTTTTTCGTCTAAATACTTTTGTTTTTTAAACGAGTATTACACAATAAGTACTGTATCATACCATTTGGGTTATCTTGTATGTCATTAAGATATTATTTTTCTCATTGTATATAATATAAAAGATGTTGAAGCTTTGTTCACAATTCCCCTAAC